TTTGGAGCAGCGACACCCGGACGGAGCAGTGAGGAGCGAACAGCTGGCGCCGCGGCGAAGACGTCACAATTGGTGCTGTTTAGGGACGTCACAACTGGTGTCGTGACCGAGATAGGACCCTGGAACGGCCACGTCACAACTGGCGCCGTGGTAGATCAGGATAGAACGTCACAGTTGGCGCTGCGACCGGGGGACGACGTCACATCTGGTGCCGTGACCATAGGATCAGAACCTGGAGCAGCCACGTCACATTCGTTACTCAGTTTAAATAATTACCCACTTGAATTCATATCTTTTTATTAATGATATGAATGTCATTTTATAATAAACATTTTAGAAATTTCTATAATAAACGTACGACTCGATTGACATTAATCTCTGCAGTAATTACTGACCTTTAACAATCCCTTTATTTTTAACTTGAGATACATTTCTATAATAGAACACTGATTTACATTATGCATTTAATTGCTCTTTTATATCAATACTTTCATTAATTCCTGACACTTGGTAGTCTATTTTTCCTGGTTTGCGGTATCTTTTAGAGCAAAAACATTTGAAATTATATAATTCTAGTCTTCTACCCGATATTAATGCTTGCAGAAATTCAGGACCATTGACAATTCCTTTTATTTTCAATGCACAATAGACATATTGAATTCTGAAACTGATAAATACAAATTTTAAGTCAGGAATTGCAACACTCAGTGACTAATCCGCTGTGCTTTTCTTTTTCAACATCAGGATTTAAGTTGTTCGTGTGAACATAAAAAAAAGTGACAGAGAAAGTAGAGTAGTTCTATAGTCAGTGGGCACTGGGAAAAAAACTAGAAATTTTTCCCTGTGTAATACAATTTCAAAAGTGGTAGGTAGAAATTACAATCATAAATATTCTCCTGAATATACAACTGTATTTTGTTTTACAAAAGTTCACCCAGTATAAGGTTAAAGAGCCACTCATGGTAGAGGGTTAATTAATGAAGTAAGAGGAGGTAAAAGGAAGTTCAGATTATGAGGATTATAAAGATAGATATCGATTGCCCCCCCCCGACTTAGAAGTTACGCTTGTAATATTCAAGGAAGCTCCCATACGTTCCAAAAAGTAGGTGCCCTCGGGAAAAGCTGAGTGAAACTGTCTTCCTGTATTTGAAAGGAAGAGAAAATACGGAGGAATCGGCTGCGTCGAGGTAACATGGTGTGTCCTAGCAATAAAAGTCTGAAGCGGTACTCGTGCGAATGAAAGTTAGGAACAAAATTGCAAATGCAGATATCGGTGATACAAAGGTTAAACAAGTCGGGCACAGGGCCATAGTGATGAGTGATCTAATATTAATCTATGCATAGCTTAAACTAGCAAAAGGCTCCGTATGAGAGGGACCTTAATCTGTTAACTACTAATTATCCAATCACCGCCAGCCTTTTCGGTCTCTGTGCAAGACCACTTCAGAACGCATCCAGCTATTCTGAATATCTATAGAACAATCTGAGCAACCTTGAGATATTTTGGTATGCCATCAAAGAAGACTATACTGCGCATGCGTAAAAAGCGACAGATAGATAACATTGTGTTTTCTTGTCTTGGCTAACCAATCCCATGTGACCTTACGGCATGAATAATCCCCCCAATCTGCACTCCAAAGAGTGACTCAGTCTGAAGTAAATCATCATCGAATGAGCTTGTATTTGGTGTGAATATTGCATCCACATTGACCGAGCGAGTAGATTCTTCACGTATCCAACAGGACATTTAGCAAAATCAGTAGCATTTAAGTCTGTCAATAGCCTGCAAGTCAAGATTATGACTTAGTTTGGCTTGTTTTGTTTTAAGGCATATCAACACCTCAATTGGTTATTTAATGCCGACAAGAGTTTTATCGCTGGAAATATTTTTTTTTCAAAAATGTATTGCTAGTAACAATTATTTTGCTTCAAAAATGTATTTCTGGTATTAAAACCTACTTTTTAAATTTTCATTGTGTTTTGACCTCAGTTTAGTGGGGGTAATTATTTGTCCATAGCTGGGACACTATCAGGTACTACTACCTCGGGTCAGGGTGGACCCAGGAAAAACAGCAATTAAGAGGTGGTTCTACGCTCATTAAAACTTCCTTGAGGCCTTACTACCGGATGTAGTTTATAGTCTTCTTACCCAGCACGCGGATATAGTTTATAGCCCTACACATGGCGCCTCATTTGGGTGGGATCATATCCCTCTGTGGAGGTGCAGACGGCGTATTCTGGAGCCCCAGCCGACAGGATGCGAGATTATGATGACAATCATGAAAAGTATTTTCAGATTGATTTAAGGAATAAAGCATCAGCATGTTCCAAGATGTCTGTCTATATTTCTGAGATGAGGTATTATGTACACTATTTACATTATTCGGACTATTGTCCTCACCTTTGTCGCCATATTCAAGTGGTTGAAATGTCGAACTGAATCCTTTATTTCGCTCACTGGGGTAGACTGTTCTAGTTCCACGGGCCATGTTTAATGGATGTCAGTTATCTCCTGTTAATTCCCCTCTCCAAGTTCTCCACTGCGTTAACAGGGTATTGAACTCACACTTTTTGGGTCCTGTCATTGGATCGAACCAAGGCCTTTATCCACTGTGCCATGTGTTCTTGAGGACATCTATGTATGAATTTCTGGATATTATAACTCTATTGTCATCAGCAACATATTTTACCAGTGCTCATATTACAATTTTGCTGTTATCATTACATGTTTTTACCAGAGCTCATATGGCAATTTTAGTTGTTATTATCGCTTTTCTCTGGCACTCTTTATAAATGGTTCCCATATTGTATTCATTTCTGTGCTTGGTCGGCTCAGGAGATTTTTGTGGTCTAGCATATTTGCTGATTCCTTAACTTTACGAATTTTCCAATAGTGTTCTTTGTCTATGATCTCAACCTCATCCCCCAGAGGGCGGTGATCTCTCTTCTCTCTCCATAAGTGGTCAGCCACCCCTGATTTTTCCACTTCCCCTCGTGTTACAGCTTTCTGGTGTTCCTGAAGCCTTACGTTAAAGTGGCGGCCTGTCTGCCCTTTATATTTCTTTCCGTAGCTGCACGGGATAGCGTACACACAGAGGGGTATTAACAGGAGATAACTGACATCCATTAAACATGGCACGTGGAACTAGAATAATCTACTCCAGTAAGCGAAATAAGGGGTTCAGTTCGACATTCCAACCAACTGAAGAAGGCCGGAGCGTACAAAGGCCGAAACGTTGTGATATATATGGTGACAAAGATGAGGACAATAGTCCGAATAATGTAAATAGTGTGCTATTGAGTAATACTTAGAAAACTAACCACTCATAACATAAGTTAATGAGTTGTTTAAGGCTACAAAGTCATATTGTTGCGCTTATATTAACCTTAGTAAGCACACAGACACATACAGAGAGCGATGGCTAAATTGTCGTCTATTACGCAAAAATGAAAAAAAAAACACTGACATCTCATTTTAACAGATTTACCAAAATTACACAAAATATTTTGAAATGAAAAAAGTAGATTTATTCAATAAAATCGTCATTGGATTCAACCATATCCTCCGGGCGACTTCGCAATCTCTTGAAACCGGATGTAGACAGTCTCCTTGTTTAAGTTGGTGAATGTTGCTATAATCTTGGTCTTCAGTCCATCTTAGGTGTTAAAAGGAGTTTTGTTGGTCTGTCGCTCAACTGCGCCCCCCACAAAACAATCAAGTGGGTTGAATTTTGGGGAATTAGGTGACCAGATGTAAGGGATGATGTGGTTACAGAAAATGTCTGACAGCCATGACTGGGTTTTCCTGTTTGTATGGCATAGTGATAAATATGGCGACAAAGAGGAGGACATTAGTCCGAATAATGTAAATACTGTTCCAAGATGTTTATATTAATGGGATATAGAGCGTCGTTATACTCCAACAAGACTAGTTTTACTTATTATTTGATAGCTGGATATTTTCTGGATATATTTTATATAAACAATTTGAATAAATGAAGGTTTTGAAATACTTATTTAATGACTCCTAATCCGGTTGCATAAATAGCTTGTCTATATATTATGACTAAAACCATGTTTGCTGAATGAAGTGACCTAGAGGCTCATTTAAATATATTACAGCTTTTATTTTTTTATTTTTTAAATATTTATTATCTTTTTACAATTGCGGCTTTTTTGGAAGAAGCTATTTGTTGTGGCTCCTTAAAAGCGCTGAAAATAGTTTGAGTTTTGAAAGGCAGTAATCACAAAGCGATGGCCGGGACAGTTCGCCATACAATGAGACGCCATTACCAAACGAACGGCATCAAATATTACAAAATGCATAACAATGACAAACAGAACAGAGCGAATCAACAATGAAAACTCATCAAATTAACTTGACTGATTTTGATGACGTGGACAAAAGCACAGTGAAGAATAAATGCAACTGCGCATCGGCCAATCAATAGACTTTTTTTTTTTTTTCAGGTGATCAAAATAGACTTTCGATTTATTTGACTTGTCTTTTACTCTTCCTTCTGTACAATTTTAGTTTATTATTCAGGGTTACATTTTATTGTGTTTTTTTTTATTTTCTGGCTTCCATTTTGGTTTTTATGAATTTCTCTTTTTCTTTATTCATTTCTACTTTCTCGCTTGTCTTTATTTTCTTTTTTCCATTCCTACTTTCTTTCTTCTTTCCTTTCCATATTCTCTCTCTACTTTTCATTTTCTTTTACTTTTTTATCATTTCTTCTTTCTCTTTCTCATTTCGTTTTTCTTTCTTATTTCGTTATTTATTTTTTGTTATTTTTTCTTTCTCTCCTGTTCATATTTTTTCTTTCTTTTCCTTTCTTTGTTACTTTTCTCTTTTCCTTTTCTTTTTTTTTTTTTTGTTTATTTCCTTCTTGCTTCTTCCTTTTCCTTCTTTTCCTCTGGTCTTAACTTTCTTCCTTTGCTTCTTTCCTTTATTCTTTTGCTTTTCGTTATTTAAGTTCTTATTTTCCTTTCTCCTTTAGTCCTACTTGTCTCTTTTTTTTTCCATTTCTTTGTTTCTTCTTTCTTTTTTCTTTCTTTTTTCCCTTTTTTCTTACCTTTTTCCATCTATTTCTGTCTTAAATTTTTATTGTCATCTCTTTTCACCACTTTTTTATTTTTTTTGTTTTCTATCCCACACCTTTCGCTTTCTTTCTTTCTTTCTTTCTTTTTTCTTCCTTTCTTTTTTCTTTCTTTCTTCTTCCGCGTTTCTTTCTTTTTATTGTTATTCCTTTTCACTTTTCAATCGCAATTTTCTTTTTCATTGTCACACATTTTGCTTTTATACTTTTCTTTCATTCATTTACTTCTTTCGTTCCTTTTTCCTTTCTTTTTTATTTTGCTTTTACCCACGTTTTTCTCTTTTTATATTTCTTTCTGCTTTTTACTTCTTTCTTTTGTTTTCTGTATTTGTCCACCATATCTTTTTTCTGTGTCGATTTTCCTCATTTGCATTTAACATTCCTTCTTTATGTGCTCTGACTTACTTTCGTACTTTTTCTACATTTACATTATTTTTTTCTTAATTTCTTTTCCTTTATCACTTGTATTCACAGTAGATACTAGTATATGAATCGATCTTGAGTTTTGTCCGATTCTTAATTTTGGCCAACAAATCATTTTTATTATATGTCACCTCACATTTTACAGCCCAATGCAACAATATCGAAGGCTATCGAACATTATACACATCATAAAGCATTTAAGAAAAGGGTACCTACCCGGGTATGAAGGTTATCAAGATTAATTCGTATGTGTGGGGAATTCGATCTTCCTTCTGTGTTTTACAACTGTAGATTTTTGATAAATATATCTGAATTCACTATATATATATATATATATATATATATATATATATATATATATATATATATGAACTTGTCAGCTGTCAATATATATATATATATATATATATATATATATATATATATATATATATATATTGTCAGCTGTCAATATACCACATAACACCCTTGAGTGCTTAGCCTTGAGCGGGTAGAATGGAGATCAACCTAGTCTAGTGGACTCAGCAGTTTTCAATCTGCTTGTCTGAATCATCTTCAAGAAGCGAGAGCAAGATCTAAAAGGTCAGCCAATCTAACAGTGATCTCATCTCACAATCCTCACACTTGATCCGTATGTGGCCTCCTTTGTAAATCACTAGCGTGTCTTAAGTGCCACTTAATTCACACACACATACACACACACACACACACACACACACACACACACACACACACACACACATATATATATATATATATATATATATATATATATATATATATACCAATTTGTAAGGATTATTCCAAAGAGGACTTTTAGTCCATATGAGAGCTCAATCTATGATACAGAGCAGATTATAATAATTAGGCAAAAACCTTAAAACCTTCAAGAATTTCTTAGTAATAAATTTATTTCGATGAATATAACCATCGTTATATCATTACTGACTATGGATATTTAAGTTTATCATATATATATATATATATCTTTTTTAAACACAGAAATTAATACCAGCTGACTTAGTTCAAGAATTTCTAGTAAAGAAAAATATATGCAAATGTGTATTTGGGCATCAATCGCTCTTTGATACATGTCTCATTGAAAAAGACTGACAGACTACTTTTGTTTCTTTAATTATATTTTCTTGTATACTTACAAGTGTTCTTCATTAAAATAAAACACTTACAGACTTTCTTTGACCCAAAACAAATGACACTGAATGCAAAATATTTACTACTAGCAGCATGGCCCGTCATTGCCCGTACTTGATTTAAAAATCGTACGACTCATACAGCAATCGCTATCACTTGACTTAAAATATTTTTGCCCCTCCTTGCATTTAAAGGAGTGCCCTTTGCCGTGCTGATGTTGCTACATGCCTTACTTCTGCGAATTTTTTCTAAGCTCTATACTAAACATTAAAACTGTTACGAAAAAAAGAACTAAACAAAATGAACACAAAACAATCAGCTTTAAAAAAAGGACTCGTAACTGGAAAAACCGAATGAAAAAAGAATGTTAACAACAAATACTTTTTCACTCCCAACCCAGTTCTGCGGAATCAGAATCAACGTTGAGTTTAAGCAAGCGAATGAGCCAATTGGAGTAAAGTGCCATGCAGATTTAAATTTTTCCCACTTGTGACGAATGCAGCTATCGATTTTTTTTGCATGGTAGCATGCTATTTAACATTCGTATCAGTCAGCTGTTGGCTCTCACGCTGGCCAATAGAATCTTCCTGCCTATTCATGGCAGCCAGCTATTGGCTCTCACTCTGGCCAGTAGAAAATGGCCGCAAAGTACATGAAAAGTGCCGTAGAAGCATGAAAAAATCGATTATTTCCACTATCGATGAGAGTTGGGAAATCCAATGTCGGTCTTGGCCTTCCGCTTACTTGGAGCACGTGCATGTAAATTTTGGTGCAAATATGTCCAAAATTACGGCCGTGCATTCGTTACACATACACACACATCCTGCCTTTTATAGATAGAGATTTATGAAATGGGACGTTTATCTCCCTATCGTAATAAACAAATAACTTCGTTGTTCATATTAGATGATTAATCCTTTCGTTAGGTTGAAATCCGTGTGTGACGTCGCCCCCTGCTCGCAGCGCCAACTGTGAGGTTCTATTCTGGTCTACCACGGCACCAACTGTGACGTCCCTAAACAGCACCAATTGTGACGTCCTCGCCGCGCACCAGCTGTTCGCTCCTCGCTGCTCCATTCGGGTGTCGCTGCTCCAAACGTGACGTCCGCCTGTCGCGTCAGTCGTGTTGTCTCGTCCTGTGACGACCAACTGGCTTGGTATCGGTCGCGGCACCCAAATGTGACGTTCTAACCTTTTGGTGATTCGAGTGGGAATCTGGTTAGATTTGATATCAGCCTCGTCGTTCCCAACTCGCTTCCAACGCCTGGTTACCAAGGTAACTGCATTGATCCCCAGTCTGCCTACCCACGTTGTGAATTGATCTTAGGCAGACGAGATCAAACAGTGGTTGGGGCCGTAATGCAAACCGAGTTCAACGGGGGTGATACCACACAAATATGCATAAAAGAAAATAAAATGAAAACTCAAAAGTTCAAAGTATCAAAGAAAAAGGTAACAAACTTTATGTCTAGTTGTTCGATACATAGGACTGCATCTATCTCCCGACCCGTTCTATGGATTGTGACACGTCGTTTTCGCTAGGCAAGTTTTAACGCTTCAAGTTGTTTGCTCTCTAAGAAATTGGTGTTTCGGTGTGTCCTTTGGACGAAAGTCAAAAAAAAACTTATTGTGGTGGTCTTGATCTAAGTCGCTCTTCAAAATAATTGTTCTTGGGTTGAAGAGGAGTCCGGAATTTGCGTGAATCTTGGTCAGCTATCTGCAAGGCGGCTTCAACTGGAGACTGACTCTTCGCTGCAACTCCAACTCAAACTGAAATTGGAACTGGAACTCACTGGAACTGATTTCTGCTCGTTGTGGCTTCGCTTATATGGACGCCGACCAAAACCGGGGTGGGTCTGTCGGCGTCGGGGTTTCCTCGATAATTCTAAATACATATCCACCTCTCTGGTTAGGAATTTCCATTTTTTTCCATTTTTGGGAAACTTTCCTCACTTCCACCTTCTCACCATACTTCAGATGGCGTGAACTGCCCTCCCCACTTCTTCGTAGCGGCTTCTCATACCTACACTCTGGATGGGCGGCGACAGCCTCCCTCGTGCGTCACATGATCACCACTTGACCAATGATGTCTTAGTCGGGCGTGGAGGAATCCGCGGCTTTGTTTCAGGAAAAAAAAATATCTTGCTTAACTAAAAAAAATTATCCCTTCTTTTCCTTTTCTTCCTCTTAATCGCCGTTATCATTTTTATAGCCGCAAACGGGACAATATGAACAATGGCGGTCATAACTCTTGTTCTACACGTGGTTTTCGTCAGGTATTTTATCGCTAATTATCCGAATGGGTGGTCTTCTTAACACGGCCAACGTCGCCCCGAAAAGACATTTCTAAATTCCCATTCATTTCCCTTCGGTACATATTTCTGATAACATAATTTTATTATGGCAGGCCAAGGATGTTCCGTCGAAGGAAATCGGTCAGCGGACACTCGTGGGTGGCTTTTAATTTTTTCATATCTGTCCAAATCCTTTTAGTTGCCTGTTTTTCGTCACTTATCGAAATAACATTTTCATTTGAATTTTTCTTTGGCCAGTCGGTCTGTAGTTGATAATAAGATGCCTTCCCGTACCAATAGTTTGTTTTCATATCCTTAGATAACACAGCCGTCTTAAAACATATCTGATTCTTTCTTTGTTTCCTTTCTTTTTACTCAGAATTTCCCTGTCATTGTAATGACACCCTTTCGCCATTTGTTACTTATCAAAATATCCCTTATCCATTGTCTCTTAGCCGTGTGTGTGTTCTGCTTATCATCCACGATTCGGTCCTTAGCCTCTCCTTTTCTTCTTTTCTTTCTTTTCTTTTTCTGCCTCGTTAAATGGTGCCACAGTGCGCAATATAATGTACTATACGAAATAATTATCTTTCAAGAGAAAAGTATTCACACCGTACTAACAAAAAAACATAAAGACAGATATTTAAACTTCCGCACCTGCTTGATTGTTTGGCGAACTTTGATGAACTCCATAGAAAGCCCCACCCCCCAGCGAAGACACATATTTACTACTAGTTTTATATATGTTATATGTTTTAGCAGAGGACGGTAAATGCGATACTGAGATCCGTAGACGTATTGGGATGGCCAAAGACGTATTTCAAAAGCTGGACAAAGTATTACGAGACAAGAGGATATCTTTGGTAGCAAAGAAAACAGTATTGGGCTGTTACATTACATCTGTCCTCCTTTACGGCAGTGAATGTTGGACGATCTCCTCAAAGATGAAGAAGAGACTCAAGGCTACGGAGATGTGGTTCTACAGAAGGATGCTAAGGATATCATGGACCGAGCGTGTGAGCAACGATGAGGTTTTGGAGAGGATGCAAACAAGGAGGAAGCTTATAATTAACATCAAGAAGAGGCAGCTGAAGTTTCTGGGACACTTAATGAGAAAGGAGGGCTTGGAGAATTTGATACTCAAAGGTCGAATAGAGGGAAAGAGAGACGTTTCTATTCACTAAGAGTTTTAGCACGTCTTCAGTTTGCTAGCATTCAAAATGTACCTGTACGTCAAATTTCACTGCAATCTCTCCAGTACTTCTTCTCTATATATAACCTGTATATACATAAACACTGAACCTATTTTTTAAAGTTATATAAACCTCGATCTGTTCATATCGAGGTCTTTAATAAAATCCAGAGTCGGATATGCAATGTGATAGGTCCTGATCTGGCATCTTGTCTACAGTCACTTTCTCACAGAAGTGCTATGGCTTCCCTCTGTCTTTTCTAGAAATATTTTCACGGCAACTTCTCCCGTCTTTCTACTTGCTTCTCTGATAGCTATACTATTTTAAATATTCAAATGTAATGTCAATCGACATTTTCTGATGCCTTGATCCTGATCCCGGT